TCCATCGAACACCACGCGGGACTGTAGAAAGCTAGCTGCGCCTCCCCACCATCGCCACCGCCGCCTGCTCCACCCGCCCTCTCCTTCTCCCCCATCAGCCTTTCCTTCTTTTCTTGGATGTCTTCCGTCAATCCCGCCGCCGCCTCCAGGCGGGGCTGCGGGTGATTCGCGCCCCTTCCGCGGGATTCCTTCGATCATTCTGCCGTCCTCCAGCCTAAAAAGCTTATATTTTTCAGGCGGGAGAACTTCGCCGCGGCTTCGGTAGAGAAGCTCGAGTTCGCTGACGCGGATGAAACCGCCCCGCTTCCCCCAAGTCTGTCACCTGGCCTTGCCGGTACCGGAAGGGGCATGGTCCACCCGCCCAGTCGAACCCCCAGCGCGCGCGAGGAGAACCGGCATCTCCGACGGAGAGCGGTTCTTGGTGCTCCAAGGCCGGGCCTGGAAACATCTGATCGGACGATGAACCAGCCTAGGATGGGACGCGAGGAAGCCGTGAGGAATACGGTGGAGGTACTGTCTCGTGGCGGCCCGGTAGTGAGAGGGGCCCTGGGACGGGGAGGGGTGGAAGAGCAATGATGCGGGGAAGAGGAAGAGGTGGGAGATTTAGGGGACGAGGAATGAGGAAGCTGACGAGGGACGTTGGCATTTATCTTGGGGACAATGAAGACGGAGAGAGGCTAGAGAAGAAGATGGAGTTGGCCGAAGCACTGGACTTCTCCATTGAAGGATGCCTATTTGGATGCTCTACATTGTAACCATATGGTTTGTTCTTGATGTGGCTACCCTTTTTGTACTCTGAAAACTGTCTTATCTGTTGTCTTGCCTGATCTTGATCTTTTTGTTTATGCAGAATGAATACGAACCGGAATACGCAGTCGGTTTTTGATAATCCAGAGTCCAGACATCGATGAGAAGCCTCCGATGTCCCTTCTTGAAGCACCGGAAAAGTCTAAGCGATTCTTGATGGCATATGAAGGGATACAGAGCCAAGAAGAGTTGGAGGTGATTCATAGTTGTGCTACAATTAATTCATGATTATTCTTATTTTGCATCCTAGTCTTTTGATCATAAGTTGTTGACCTTCTTACATCAATGATAAGTAGCAGTGATGGTCCTCAACCGAAAAAGGTCATTCCCTAGAATGTAGTAACGAGCTGAAATTAATCCATGTGAATATCTGTAGGTTACCGAGACATATGGCCTCTTTCTTGCATTTGTACATTCTTGATGGCATATGAAGGGATACAGAGCCAAGAAGAGTTGGAGGTGATTCATAGTTGTGCTACAATTAATTCATGATTATTCTTATTTTGCATCCTGGTCTCTTGATCATAAGTTGTTGACCTTTTACATCAATGATAAGTAGCAGTTGATGGTCCTCAACCGAAAAAGGTCATTCCCTAGACTGTAGTAATGAGCTGAAATTGATGGTCCTAAGTTATAACCGATAATGCTGGTTCTACCCAACCAGATATTAAGTAGGATTTAAGCTTTAGTTTAGCTAACTCCAACCTCTATCTTCTTGGTGAGATGTTTTGATAAAGTTTGACAAATAACTCCAATTTTAATGTATGGTACTTCTTAGCATCTATGCATAACCTGTTACTTGTGTGTATGTAGATATGACTTGAAATCTGACTGAATTAAGGTGCTCAAGTGTCAGAAAAGGGCTTGCTTATCTTTTATTAACCGTGTTAAACACTAAGCTCTATATCCCAACAGTAGTTGTGTTGTGATGTCCATCAACCGAAGTATCCCAATGTATCTCCAGATAATGAGTGCTAATTTCTGTAAAAAAAAATGAAGGATGGAGTCAGAATCTAGTGTATCAGAAGAAAATGGGTGAACTGAAGTGACATAGGGTCATGGTTGCTGACTGAGATCACACAGACAAGCATCATCAAAGAAGCGTCTGTCATGAATTGGTGAATTTTTGACAGAATTTTTTCGAGTAGCTTACTTGAATCAAGAACCCTGAGCAAATCTGTAAGGTTGGGAATGAATGCATAAATTTGTGATTATTTGAAATTATTGGTGAAAAAGATTTTCTAAAGTTAACTTCACGTAGTTGACAGAAAAGAGCTTATGGATATGTACTGTGGACCTGATAGAGTTGCTGCTAAGCAACAAAATCAAGAGTTGGAAAGGGTGGCGAAAACTCTTCCAGAGGATATACCTTCTTATGTTAAGAGGTTTACAGACCAAGCTCTCCGGCCTCTGCAAGTTGTCTTCCTGTTCATGTCTTTATGTTTTAATCCAGATGTACCCATAAAGTCTATGTTTCAACAGAATATGCACAGTTAATGCAAATATTTGCTTTGGATGTTTGTTTGATTGTACTGCATCTTACTGCATTCTATTTAAGTTCTTATTTCTCAAGTACAAATATTTCCGGAAAAAAAGATGTTTTTCCTTTTCTGCTTCTTTTCTGGGTTGCAGTGTTGCAGTGTTGCTGCTCAAGTCTGCTGCATGAAGCTGATAGATTTATGGCTGTTTGTGCTTTTGGGAATCGTACTGCAACTCAAAAGGGTCATGATAACTTTATAAAAGGGATTGTTGTTCAGTTCTATGGCATATTGTCGGCTGTGATTTCTTTTCCGGAATTCTGATACTGTTGCTGAAATCTGCTGTGCCAAGCTATGGGTCTTCATTTAATTTTATCACAGCTATGGGTCTTTATTTAATTTTATCACAGCTATGGGTCTTTGAAGTTTTTCACCTCTTCTGTATATCAAGTTATTTTCTTTTCTGCTTAAAATTTCTGCTGCAATTAATCATGTGCAGAACAAATATTGCATGTCTGAGGCCTTTTTTCAATAGTTAAAGCTGCTGATTTCAATATTTTTACTGTTTACTGTTATCTTGATTATAAATCTTAACTTCCTGCTTGCTTATCAAACCTAAGCATCTTGCTGGTTCCGAATTGAAACTCCAGCATGATGCTTAGATGTTCTGTCTTCATTTGGATTTCGATTGCGAATTTAGTTGGTATGCAAAGCATGTTTGATCTTGATTTCCTGGTCTTTTTTCAATAGAGCAACACAGGCTGGGGTTTCAACGAGAAATGCTAGTTCACAGACAAGCTTGTTTTGGAGGTTTCTTGGGAGGTTTCATGGCACTATAATTAGCAACTGGCCGACATGCTTTGGTAGAAGCTGAGAGTTGTGATCTCGCATCAGTATGCATGGTAAAGATCTGATGTACCATGTAATCATGCACTGTTTTCTTTCAATATTTCAAATTTCTTTTTTTCATTTTTTATCCTAACTAGCTACTACTGTCTTCAGATTGAATGTGCTGTTTATTCAATTGAAGTTGACCAGAAAATCGGCATACAATCGCTCGCTTTTGTTGGTGGCATTATGCTGATCCAATATTTTTGTCTGAACAGGAATTCATGCAATCACTCGTACATTGATGAACGAGCTGCATGAATCAGTTGGTATCAGTTACTTTCTCATGAGCAACTTGATGAGCCAGACATCTCCGGTCCGCCCCCATATGTGATGCTTGACGACGATATGGGCTTTCTTATTTGCAATCATCATCGTCGATGGGCTCTTCGTTGACAGGAGCGCGACAGGCGGTGAAGATTTGTATCCTGTATCCATGTTTCTTGTTCACTGACACAGCAAGCATGTAATAGATGTGGAGATCACTAGGAAAACAAGTATGCCAATTAGAACAGGCAGTCCACTCATTGAACATATTAGAATCTTTCTTGATATGTAGTAGTAGGAGTGGTGCTTGCATTTAGACATATTTGATTAAAGACATTTATTCACCTTTTCTTTTTGCCTTTATTTTTTGGACGAATTTTCAGTACATTTTGAAAATTTTCATCGAACGCTCTTGCCTTCAAAAATTTTGAAACAATGCTCCCGAGTGTGTGAAAAAATTATTTTGCTCATTATTTTATCGGACCCGTCGCTCTTCACCTATCGTTCTTATGTGAGGGTTGATTGTTTTCCTACACTTGTACTCTTACTTGAGGGTTGATTTGGACAATGACGAAGATTGTGGTCGACGGGCTAAACTAAGGAGAGAGGGTAATTGATGGAGTGGTAGAATGGTTATGTTGAAAAAAAAAATATTTTGTCAAAAAAAATTTAAAATTAGGAATTTGCTTTATTTTTTAAATGTTTGCTATTAATATTTGTTTTATAGTTTTTCTTTTATTTTATTTAAATATTTGATATAAAATTAGTATAAAAATATCAATCAAGATGGGGGTGTAGCTCATATGGTAGAGCGCTCGCTTCGCATGCGAGAGGCACGGGGTTCGATTCCCCGCACCTCCATTTTTTTCGTTATTTTTTTTTGAGACCTTCAAATAAGTTCATCTCACTTAATCCCATTAATTAATAGATCCCAAATCAAACAATATTTTCTTTCCTTTTTTAATTTCTATATTAATTCATCTATCTCTAAAATCCAACAACATTTTTCTTTCCTTCTCCCTACTTGAATAACATAATAAGTCTCTTAATATATATATATATATATAAAAGAAACTTTTACTTCTTGAAATTGTCTTTACCCATATATTATTCCTTAAAAAGAACCATCCTATCAATTTTAATATTGAGCAGTATTACATATATATATATGTATAATATTATAATTAACATGTTATCACCATAATAACAAACAAGGATATTTAAAATAATATTAATGTGTCTAAAAAATAGTATTAATGCCAATAAGGGTTTCAAAACCTCCCTGCTTTAATTGGTAACAAATGCAGCTTACCAACAACATATTTCCAATATAAGAACATATATTATAATATATAGCTATCTATATATATTATGTATGCTAAAATTAAATTTATATAAAAATGAAAAATACACAAAATTAATATATATTTTTTAAATTTTATTTATTTATTTATTTATGCCTCTATACAATGGCCCATCTCTCTCTCTCTCTCTCTCTCTCTCTCCTT